AAGGTTCGAGGAAGAAGAAACCCATTGAAAATCAGATCTCAACATGTGAAAGAACTCTTGGAAAATGGAGAGAAAAAAGTTGCTCTTGGAAAATGGAGAGAAAAGTCAGGAAAAGAGGCATGGGAAAGGTTGCGTGTGTGGTGGAAAATGGACGGTACAATCATAAAACGAAACGACGTCATTTTGTATGTAGGAAAGGAGTCCAAAACGTCGTCGTTTTAAGAGGACGAAATTGGGAACAGTAATTTTAAAAGTGGCTCTTTTATTTGTTAAGGATAAATTCTCAATTGATGACGATACTTGGAAAGTAATTTCTTCCCAGGATGCCACTATTGAAATTAAGTTAGAGCCACAGATGAAAAATGGAGATACTTATCTGTATGTTTCTAGGCATCCGCTTTTATTCCCAACACACCATGTGGGTTCAATGGCTTTGATGCTTAGCATGGAGGATCATAACTTCAGACGGCGTTGTTACAGTATTGGTGTATATGGTTTTAAAGTGACATCCAAATTCAGGTTTTCGGTAACTATTCAAGATAGCCCCAGGGAGAAGGTAGGTCAACATGCTGCATCTTGCTCGTCATCTATGGAGGTAGATACTATCGAATGCGGAAATTGTAAGCGTTGTATTTCTTCCAGGACAATAACACTTCATGAAGCCTATTGTAGCAGACATAGTATCATCTGTCAGCATCCTGTTTGTGGGATTGTTCTTAGGATGGAGGAGGCCAAAATCCATGTGCACTGCAAAAAATGTGGACATGCTTTCCACGGGGTAGAGATCGATAAGCATGTCAAAGTTTTTCACGAGCCACTTCATTGCCCATGTGGAATTGTCCTTGAGAAAGAACAGATGGTAATGATTATGCTTTCTGCATCTCTTCTTTCATTGTTGCCGACCTAGTCTTGTGAATTTCTTGAACTTCTCCATTCAAATTTTTGTGTTACTTATTCCGCTGTTAAATTGATGGGTCGGTTTTAGACAGATTGGAGGTATATAGCATAATTCATCCTCTTCAGGCCGCTTTTAGGACATGTATTACAATGTTGAATCATGCTGCACGAACATAGGGGACGGCTGAACACACACCTCGGGAGTCGAGCATTATTTTATTCACTCGGGACCCACGCGCAATGTGAGGGTCGGTCACCCGAGGTGTCAACCATTCTCGAGTAAAGTGGTTTTATTCTACAATGTTTATTGGATTGATGCCTGCAATCACCATACTTTTTTTGCACTTCACGCGAGTTTCTAATATTCCTATTTCTTAACAAGTGCAGCACCAGTCTTTAGATTGCCAATTACGACTTATTACATGTCGATTCTGTGGAGATATGGTTCAAGCTGGGAGTAGGCTAAGGGGTTAATCAGAGCATGAAAGTATTTGTGGATCTAGAACTGCTTCTTGTGATTCATGTGGGCGTTCCGTGATGTTGAAGGATGACATGCACCAAATTGCTCGAGATTTTATTATGTTAGGCTCAATTAGTGCATTTATAGCGTGTTTGATAGCATTGAGCCCTGTTTTGTGCTTAAAATGTGACCTGCCATGGTTATTATCGTAAATTAGTTTGTTTCTGTACGAAATTCATTAGCAAAATGTAGCCCTGTTTGAGTCCTATTTTGGGAAAAATGTGTTCTGTAATTGTAATTGTTTGGAGAATGTGTGATTAAAAAAATAAGTTTTTTTTTTCGATTTATGTTCAAAATTATTTCATTAAAAAATGTGATGTTGAAAATGAGTTTTGAAAAAATGAATCTAAAAAATAAAAAATGGGGCTCAAACAAGGGCATAGTATCTTTCTAACTTCATCATTTGCCATTCAAGCTCCGTTTGATCCCCATCATATTTCTCATTATAATGAGAAAAAATGGGAATCAAATATGCGCTGAATTTCAATTACAATAAAAATAAAATATATAATGCCTATTAATGGGCAAATTCTACGGTTAAAATACTAACAATTTCAATACTAATCTAGCCCCTGTTTGAGCCACATTCTCATTCTTCTACTCATTTTCAACCACGCATTTTTAATAAAATAATATTTTCTATCACATCAATAACTTTTCCTTTATTTTCAACCCACCATCACATTACAAAAAAATGCATTCTTTCCATTTTAATATACATCAAACACACTTCTAATAAACAATCACGCTACATGTATATCGTCCTTACACTTTGTTATGTGACAATATATTATTGGACAATTTGAAAAAATAAATTATTCTTCCTTGAATCTATTTTTAACAATACATCAAATGTCAAAAGTAAATGTAGTCGAACAATCTATACAAATCTTGATTTTGGAATAGTGATCGGGATTCATTGTACTATACTTTTAGAGCTTGTTTGAACAACCCCCCCCCCCCCCCTCCCTCAAAGGCTCAAAATACATTTTTGAATAATATTTTGATAGAAATTGTGTGATAAGATTTTTTTTTTGAATTTACGTGTAATATTATTTGATTGAAAATACGAAAGAGAAAAATATATTTTAGCCTGCGTTTGGTAACCATTTTCATCCAAATTGTAGAAAAATTATAGACGTTATACAGTTCCATTGGTAGGGTATGCAATACAAGTGGCAGGGAGGGGGACAAACTTTTTTGACCAAATAGGGACTAAAATGACCAATGAGACACTGATTTGACAGGAAAAATGTATGGCTAATTAGCACAAAACGTCCCTACCTTTGGGGTTGATTTCGTAAATCGTCCATATCTTTCATTCCTTGGCATTTATGCCCTTACCTTTAATGTTTTTGTGCGCTGAACGTCATTTTTACATGTTTTTGACGATTTTACCCATCATTCAAATAAAACAAAAAGAAAAGAAAAAAAATCCAACAAATTGCAACGATAAGCCCAAACTTTTTAAAAAGTGCAAATAACCCACCAAATTTCGCCTTCTTCCCACAACTTACCCTTCTTCCCCATCGTTGCCTGCTGGCCATTTTCAGGCCACCATTGCCACCTGATTTTTGCACCAACACTATCTTCTCATCAACCATTAACACACCTACACAAATTTCAGCCCCAAAAAAACATCAAACTTGAACCAAACTTCGGCAAAAAAAACAGCGTTCACGCATGATTTTCTTCCATTTTCTACCCAATCCATGGATGCCCAGGTTAATTACACTCCACAGGTCCCTCAAGCTCACCTAGACGCATCCATTCATGTTCCAATTACATCAAAAAACAAAGAAAATCAAAATATGCAGTTATTTTTCGAAATGTGTTCACGGCCGGAAAACCCAAATTCCGGCGACGATGGTGGTCCCCATGATCTCGGACCACATGGGCTAGCATCCTCTCTTCATGGCACGGCTATTCCACCCATGGGTCATCATCAATTTGGGCGAAATATGCACGAACAGGCTGGGTCGAAATTGGTCGGTCCATGAATTTTCTTCCTTTTCTTTCTTAATATTTTTCACGAAAATGGTTGACATTAGTAGTTAAGATCAAGCTATAGAGTGCCACAGCCACACCACTGAAGAATTTTCTGTTGAATAAACTTGAAATAGGGTGGGAAGAAAGGTGAATTGTGGGAAGAAGGCGAAAAGTTAAACGCATTACCGCGAGGCACCCATTGCAATTGCTGCATTTGAAGCAGGTTTTGTGAAAAGGAACACCATCTCAGCAAAATGAACAGTTTTATTACAAGCTTTGCATTTTTGTACAGTGCCATAGAATGCTCATTTTTTCTTTGTTTGATTTGGAAAAACAGAATTATTAGTTTCAGACTTGTTTCATATGAAATAATTCTGTTTTTTCAAGAAGGGTGAGTTGTGGGAAGAAGGTGAAGTTTGTTGGGTTATTTACACTTTTTAAAAAGTTTGGACCTATCGTTGCAATTTGTTGGATTGGACGTTCAACTCACAAAAACGTGAAGGTAAGGACATAAATGCCAAAAAAAGAAAGGTAAGGACGGTTTCCGAAATACACCCCGAAGGTAGGGACGTTTTTTACTAATTAGCCAAAAATATATTTTTATAGTAAAAATGGTTACCAAACACAGGCTTAAAATAATGGAACCGAGGGCTTAATCTATTGCACGTTATTTCCAATTTTACCCTTTTGATCCCAAGTTCAATTTTGGAGGGAAGGATAACATTTTCAAAATCAATTTGGAGAGGAATACAAGTAGAATTATCCTAAAAATAATGGAATCGAAGGCTTAATCTATTGCACGTTATTTCCAATTTTACCCTTTTGATCCCAAATTCAATTTTGGAGGGAAAGATAACATTTTCAAAATCAATTTGGAGAGGAAAAAAAAAAGCACTCTCTCCCTTTCGTCTCTATTCTCACACGTACAGCTTTCTACATCAAAGAAATGGCTGAAACCCTGAGCCCAAATCCGAAGCAGAGGGGACCCTTCTCTCCTTCAAGCCCTTTCTTCTTAGGCTCCAACAATGACAAACTTGAACGCGCTCAGGCACGCGCCGCTCGAGCAGCCGCCGTGCGCCGGAAACCTGTCGCCCCTACGACAGCCACTTCTCCCAAGGCGGATACATTGCTCGGAAAAGAACAGATCCTGGAATTGTTTCAGAACTGCATCAAACTTGCCAGCGAAAACGTTTTCCCTCTTTTTTATTTTATATCTTTTTTCTTTTCTCATTTTAATTTTTCGTAACTTTTGAGAAATTTGCTCAAGAATTGATTTATGATATGTTTGGATTTTCAGAAAATCAACCAGAAGAACACTTGGGAACTGAATTTGATAGATCATCTTTACGAGATCGTTAAAGTCGAAGAAGAGAATGATGTGGAAACCAATTTTCAGAAGGTGTTTTTTTTATAATTAAGTTCAATGTGCCATTTATTTTGTCCCATCACATATGAAGGAATATTAGGTCTTTCAATTTCGAGAAATGTGGTTTTTGCCCGAGTATATGCTGGATTTTGGTCAGTTACACGCGTATCTGCAGCAAATTCTTTTCTTTTTCTTCTGAATTTTTTGCCAATGGAATCATTTTGTGTTATCGATCTTAATTTTATCTCTCAAGCAATGGCTTCTTCATGATAACCTTTTTAAAAGCGTGGCAAAAAAGGAGTGTTTCAGGAGCAATGTGTATTCTTAAATATGCACGCTTCCTTCAAGTTAGTATAAAAGTGAGTATTGACTTCAGTGGCTTTCACTTTGCACAACACAATTGTTGTTTTGTTTTGGTATGTTGCACACATACAAGCAAGCACTATATGGATGGCATACACATCTATATCTATATATATATTATTTATGGTTCTATGTTAGGCAAGTTGTACCCTTGAAGCTGGAGTTAAGATTTATTCAATGAGGGTGGATTCAGTTCATTCAGAGGCATATAAGGTTCTTGGAGGAATTAATCGTGTTGGGCAAGAGGATGAAAAAGGTTAGATTTTTCAAGGCTTCATTTTCATATGTATTGTACTACATATTTTGCTATTTGCATATATGAATTATCTTGCTCTTAACTTTTAATGTGAAGAATTGGAATGATGTATTTTGATGTCATGCAGCTTAGTTCACGAAATGTTATATTTACTAATGTCGAGATATAATTTAGTGTTAAATTAATTTCTATACTGGAGTGTTTGAGGAAATATTCTTTTCCTTTTCCTTCCGGGTAAAATGGACCGGAGGATACTAAACTTTCACCATTCTTTTGTCTATTGGATATGTTTTGGTTACCAGTGATCTACCTTTGACTTACGTATTAGCCAATTTATGGGAACTAAGCTCAAACTGGGTATAGTTTGAAAGTTGGGTTGAGAAATTCAATTTCTAACAAATGGTAAAAAACTGTAATGATTTGACTAAATTATGCCAAAGTTTAGTAGCCATGATACTGAAGCATCAGATTCCATGACATTTGGAGCGGTCTAATTGAAACAAACAATAAGTCAGC